CTCTGACTATCTCTCTCATAATAATTAAACCATCACTCTCAAGAGAATTTATACTACAGTACTCACGAAATTGTATACGCAATCTCAAAAGAGCGTTTCCGGGTAACAGGTGAAAAACAAGACAGAGAAATATATATATATGTGTATGTATATGTATATATACATATATGTAACGATTGTTTCGCTCTCGGTTACAACTCGTCTCTCTTTTGTCCCCTTTTATCGTAGCCAGGCTGTTAAAGAAATCTCTACCCCGCCTCTGTTCCATTTTCTTTGTCGTAGATTTAGAAAAAAAAGAAAAAAAAAAAAAAAATCCGTGCCTATGTCCGCCGTGCAGACGAAACAGTGTCGTTGTTCCATCCCTCCCTTCCCTTTCATCGATTTGCACAGCTCGCAGGAGGAAGTTTCATCCGAAAGGGTGACCGAATAAAGCCTACGTAATACTTGTCACCCGGGTTTATCTAAATAGAATTTTTTGGGTTACATGTCATGAATAAGGGAGCCATAGACACGGAAGACTGAGATTCTTGTTTCTTTTCTTATTGATTGCCCCCCCCCCCCCCTTTCCTCTTTTTTTTTATTGTTACCTTTAAATTGACACCTCTTTGTTGTTTCCAGAAATCATTTCATTTATCATATTAATTAATATTTACAGAGCTTGCTTCTTTTTATAGAGATCAAGTTGAATATTGAAAAGAAAAAAATTTTTATTCAATTAAAGACGGATTCGATTGTGAAATTTTTGGTAAGGAAAATTCGTCGAAGAATCCTTTCGAAATCATTCGATTAATAATCGTAGAAATATTATTTTTCAAAAAAAAAAAAGGAAAAATAATAGATACTCGATCTTTCTTCTGTATATAATAAGGTTAAATCAAAACTCTGCTCGAAGGTAAAAAAATTTGGTATTGGTCGGTTTGGGAAGAAGGGAAAGGCTAATGGAATCTTACCACAATGGAATAATAAGTAACGTTCATTACTGAAATTGAGATTTCTTTAAAAAGGCACATCGGTGTACGGGAAAATACAGTTTCATTTTATCGTGAATGAAACTCTCGAATTGCTTTCCTGACCTTTGCGCTAATATCATACTTGGCCGCGTCTCTCCAATTCTTTTTCCCTTAATGCACGAATAAGCATTAAGAAACGAAATTATAATTTAACTGTGGACTATTAGAATCAAGTGATTAACAGTCCATCAACTGTGCCGTAATTCACAAAATTTTAATTTGCGAAATGAATCGTAAACGTTATTCACTTTTCACAAAAAGTGTAATAATTTGTTTAACGATTTCTTACATTTTTAGAATACAAAGTGACTGTCTTTCCAATTTAATAATAATCGTTTTGCAATTAAAAAAATTATCATAGAATATAAAACTCATTTAAATTTTTACTGAACAATTTTTTTAAATTCTCCTCGCTTTATATATTATTTAAAATTATAAAAATTGCAAACAATTATTTGAATACAATTGCAGATATAAAGAAGATTGGAAGATTGTTTAAATATTGTAGAAAAAAAATTATCATAGAATATAAAACTCACAATTTTTACTGAATTTTTTAAATTCTCCTCGTTTTATATATTATTTAAAAATTGCAAACAATTATTTGAATATAAACGAATACAATTGCAAATATAAAGAAGATTGGAAGATTGTTTAAATATTGTAGAAAAAAGAATACAATATTTTTTACATTTTAAAACTAAAATTAAACTGAAAATTTTGTGCGATATAGAAAATTGTAGATGGATTTGATTGGAAATCAAAGAAATTGCTCGATTGATGCCAGATTTCGTATCGAATTCGCGGTGAATTAATTTTCCAGGCTTTAATTGATCGAATCTGTGAACTCTTGATGTGGATGGATCACAGTCTGTTTATTGTTCACGTGGTCTCAGGGGGTTCGCAGGATGAAATCTGGGGAATGTTTGTTGGCAGGGTAGGTTCGTTTGTCATTGGCAAGATCAAAGGGATTCGATGCGTTTCTCTGATCGTTGACTAAACTTATTGATGGAACGCAATTGCCTTAGCTTGTCACGGTACAACATCCCTTTTCGAGGGATAAAGAGAGGAATTGCATATTAATCGACCACGCAAATTAGATTAGCCAGTTGCACACGTGGAAAAATTTTGTTTTGTAGAAATAATTTTAATAGGTTGCCATTTTTTCCTTCTCCGATTGGAGAAGGAAATAATATATTTTCAATAAATATTTATATATTCTTGAATATATATTTTTGAATCTATATATTTTTTGAATATATTTTCAAAAAATTTTATGATTATTTGATTAGGATTTCTTTTTAGATTCTTTTCATTGGACACTTGAGGATAATTGAGAAAAAGGGTGTACACAGATTTTATTTACCTTTTGTTGGTAAACTATTTTTTATAAAATGACACTTTCTTTGTTATATTTAAAAGATCTTTAACTTAGAGATTATGATTAAGATTCAATCATCTTGTGCAAATCTCAGTTGTATAAAATTAGAAAATAAATATTAATATTAAAAAATATATATATATTTAAGAAAAATTATTTTTGCAATTTAAGATGTGTGAACAAATGAGTTTCATGCATATAAAGTTGTCAATATGAAGTTAATTCAAGAAGAATGTTTCTCATTTTCTTAAAAGAGGAGCCATTGTTTTCGATTAAAATCAAACATTGAAATGATTGGACAATGCAAAAAAAAAAAAAGTTTTTTCCATCTACTTTACGAATTTCGATTTTTAAAGATGAGACTATTATTATTTCAGAAGAATCCTTATTATATTTGATCTTTTTTTCATAAGTAGTTTATTACGTAGACGTTTTGTTATTCTAGGATTCCATTATTTAAATATTCTCACATTTTTTTCGTATCAATATATTGCAAATAAAATGTACAATAGATACTTTATTTTTCAAATCTATCGAATCAAGAGTCTAATCAATATATATATTCACGATAACATATTTCTTCTTCTCGAAAAAACATCAGGATGTAATAATATTCTATTGGAATTTTATTCTTTAGTGAAATACAAAGGAAATGTTCTATCCTTAGAAAATACAATGGAATAAGGAAAATAAACAAAGTGAAAATACAGTAGAAAATTCTAAGGGAGAATTCTATCCTTGAAAAATATTACGATAATAAGAAAAAAATATTTAAAATAAGAAAAGATAAATATAGTGAAAATATAGAGATAAAATTTAAAAAAAAATTTATTTATTGTACCTATAAAATAAACAAATTACATTTTTGTGTGCTCTAAATAATGATTCTAGTAGTAATTACAATTTTTATTCTCAATTATTAAAAATAAAAAATTCTATTAAAAAAGTTTCCATCTTTGAGAATTCATTCTAATATTTTAAAATTATTTTTCATTACCAGTTATTAATTCAATATGGCAAATTTTAATCAATATATTCATATGAATTTTATTTATAAAGTGTTCAAAAGTTTGCACTAATTATCCAAACTTTTGGATAAAAATTTTATATTTTTACTTTCTTTAAAAATTCATTTCAATAGTTCATAAAATATTGATTCCCAGTTACTAATTTAAAGTGACAAATTTTAATCAATCACAATCTCCACCCTTTCAATAGATTCATGGACCGTCGAGGAATTTGCATTAATTATCCAAAGCTAAAGAGTTGAACATTTCCATATCCTCCTTTAAAAATTCATTTGAATAATCCAAAGATATTTTTCAATTCCAATTTACTAATTCAAAATGACAAATTCTAATCAATCACAATCTCTATTCTCTCAATAAATTCATAAACTGTCAAGGAATCATTCAAAGCAGAGTTGAACATTTCCACATCTCCCTTCAAAAATTCATTTCAATTTCAATACTACAAAAACATTGTATCCTTTAATCCCCATTTAATAATTTAAAATGACAAATCAATCAGAATCTTCATCTTCTCTGATAAATCCCACTTATGGGGTTTGAAGGAATTCTCATTAATCATCTAAAGGAGAGCTGAACATTTCCACATCCCCCTTCAAAAATCCATTTCAATAGTACAAAAACATTATATCCTTTAATCCCTATTTAATAATTTAAAATGACAAATCAATCAGAATCTTCATCTTCTCTGATAAATCCCACTTATNGTAGAGGAATTCTCATTAATCATTCAAAGGAGATCTGTATATTTCCACATCACCCTTCAAAAATCCATTTCAATAGTACAAAAACATTATATCCTTTAATCCCTATTTAATAATTTAAAATGACAAATCAATCAGAATCTTCATCTTCTCTGATAAATCCCACTTATGGGGTGTAGAGGAATTCTCATTAATCATTCAAAGGAGATCTGTATATTTCCACATCACCCTTCAAAAATCCATTTCAATAGTACAAAAACATTGTATCCTTTAATCCCCATTTTAATAATTTAAAATGACAAATCAATCAGAATCTTCATCTTCTCTGATAAATTCCACTTATGGGATGTGAAGGAATTCTCATTAATCATTCAAAGGAGATCTGTATATTTCCACATCACCCTTCAAAAATCCATTTCAATAGTACAAAAACATTATATCCTTTAATCCCCATTTAATAATTTAAAATGACAAATCAATCAGAATCTTCATCTTCTCTGATAAATCCCACTTATGGGATGTGAAGGAATTCTCATTAATCATCCAAAGGAGATTTGTACATTTCCACATCACCCTTCAAAAATCCATTTCAATAGTACAAAAACATTGTATCCTTTAATTCCTAATTAATAATTTAAAATGACAAACCAATCAGAATCTTCATCTTCTCTGATAAATCTCATTTATATGATGTGGAGTGGAATTCGCATATTAATCATCATCCACAGCAGGTTCTCTATATATTTCCATTTCTCTTTAAAAATCGGTTGATTGGCGTGTCATCTAAATAACGTGAATAGTTGGAATATAATCTGAGAGGTAATTTCGAGAGGAACAAGCATGGCGGAATGCTATGGTAGGATTGTTTAATCAAGATGCAAGGGATGATGAAGGCGAAGCGACAGACTGCCATTGGAGGAAAAATATTTCCACGATCGACTCGTCAGTAATTTCTTTCGTTCATCCTCTTTCACCTCTTCTCTTCTGTGTCTTCTCCTCCTTATCGTGGACAGTTCGAAACGGGGAGGGTGATTAAAAACGAAGCTAATAAATTGATTTAAAGTGCTTTCAAGATGGCGGCTTTGATAGCGAATCATAAGATGAGGAGGAAATGGGGGAAGTACCATCTTGAAGCGTCTTAACGAGACCAGCATCGCTACTTTTCTCTTATATATATATATATATATTTTTATTTCTTCTTTTTCTTCTTCCTTCCCCTCCCCTCCTACCTCTCCTTAATATTTGGTCTTCTATTGCTTTCCTTTAAATTTATTGTGATCGAAGAAATCCATCATTCATTGGTTTTTCTATACAGTTTTGTAGTCATAGATTTATCGATAATGATACTCGTTAAAGTATTGTTGTGAAATATTTATGAAAATACTTTTGTCTTGATGATACTTTAATATATTTAATGCATTGAATTATTTCATCGTTATTTCTTGCCAACTGATATTTTTATTCTGAATAATATTGGAAATATTAATTTGAGAAATGAATAAATGCTAAATATATATATATATATTTTACAATTATTGTTTTCAAATAATGAAAATTAAATTCATGAAAACATATAATTGGGATGTTTATGATGTGTTAAATAATGTTTATTAGAATTTGCAGATGTACTTGGCATACATTTAAATGAGAAATATACTAATTATTTTCTGCACAAGTAGATAAAATATCATTGTGTATTATTTTGTTGTGTTGCACACAATTTTTGGATTTGTTGAAGCAACCAAAAATATCTACAATATATACCATCTAATGTTATTCTGTGAAAATAACAAATTAGATATTCCAATATAATGTTGAAACAATATGATCACAATTAAATTAAAGGAAAAAAAAACTTGATGTAAAGTCTCTTCATATTAAAACATATTATATATAATATATATTCTACGCGTCTCCTTGAATTAATAACGTTTCAACGTATGCCGTGCATCTGGAGTTGCAGAGTTCATCAGATACGTTATCGGTTGTCGCCTATTTAAGGTATCTATGCTCGTATCACGGATCATTGGTCAACCATAGATTTTAATTGATCAGCTGATCATCCGTAGCAAGTGATCCGTAATATGAGCACATGGGTATATTACCTTAAATAGGCGACGAGGATAAGGTGCGCATTATCATCGATGAGTCCTTAAAATGTTGATGAGGATAGAGAAAAATTGATGCAAAGAGATATTTTTTTTTAAATAATTGAATATTTAAAAAATTAGACGACATTTTAGGTTGACAAAAAAAAGATAAAGGATATATCACATTTCGAGATGGAAAAATGGATCATTTGCTTAAAAATATTATTTTACATGGAGCACTGTTAATAATGAATTACATTACCTTTGAAGATAGAATTATAATTTAACTGTTTGTAAAAGGTTTCGATTCTTTTCCTTTTATACGAACAAAATATTTTTTCGAAACATTATAAACATGATAAGTAATCGAAACTTCTTTCATTTCGTTCCAAGAAATATTTCATTTCCTCATAATATCACAGTTGACAGTGTAGAACGATCGATTATCGTATTTCTCTTCTATTAGCGCGAGCTTAATTATCATGTAAATAGTGGTAATTAGTAACACATTTGAAACTGCTCGATCAATTAAGTTTTTCTAACGTGTATTCTGTTTAAAAAAAACTGTTTATATTTTTAGAAAAAAAAAAAAAAAAATTGTCGTATCATTATTGTCACACATCTTCTCTTCATCATCCAATATATCTTGTTCAATAAGATAAACAATATTGATATAATATGTGACACGTATAATTTGTATAGCGTGCAATAGGCATAATAATCAGATAATGTTAATATAAATGCAGAAACACGTGAAACTTGGTAACGACGCACTAACTTTGTGAAACTCAATACTAATATCCTCAGGCGGTACAAGATCTAATATATATAAATACCGTTACATGACGTTTAACTGTGTCACTATATTGTAAGATGTTGATCAACATGATCTCTGAATACTTATATCTAATAAGAACATTTCTGATGCAATAGAACAATTATATTCCTAATACAATGTTTAATATTCATTAAAACTATAAATTTACAATTATAATATACGTGTTGTTAAATCAAATTTTATATCTATTTGATTTAAAAATCAGAAAAATAACTAAAAGATAAGACAATCTTATACCATGATTATACATGTATCATGATTCAGGAAATTAATTAATATTGTTCATCTAGAATTCTAAAAATAATAGAAATATCAAAAAAAAAAAAATGAATTCTTACAAAATCAATAATTAAGAAATTTTCAGTTCAATGTTTTGTTAATTGGCATATTTTTAATCTTGTCAATTCTTGAATTTGGTTTAATGGAGAGAAACCTAATATGTTTGTTTTAACAATAACTGCATTTAGGACCTCGTTATTAGATACCTCATTTGCGTTTAATGGATAAGAGTCATAATAGGGATTTTCCAGAAATATATCTTCCTCCATAATTATTCATATGGTCCATTATCAACGAATTAATAATACTGATAGTAATATATAATAATTTATAGAAATTCTTATTGTTAGAATCACTTTAGTCGAGATTCTCAATTCTAAAATCAATGAGAATTCATAAATTTAAAGTTCATCTGAAGAGGAATGTGTTAATTTTGTGATCAATTCTTTATAGCATTCATATCATCTAACAAAAGTCCCTCCATCTTGGAACCATTCTTAGATCCATTAATCCAAATAGATTTATTTTTTCAGGTTATCTTAGAAAATTCTTCAATCTTAGAATCATTTTTTATAGGATCCATTAATCTCATGATTCCTCTAATTTTGAAACCTTTCAATTTTGTAACTATTCTAAGATCCATTGATCTTCAATTTTGAAAGAAGATCTCTTCTAAGTGAAATTTTTTAATCTTGCAATTATCAATATCACGCATGGATTATTCTAATATATTTTCTTTTTTTTCTAAGTCATTTCAAACAAAATTTCCTCCATTTTGAATCTACCTCAAGACTCTTTAATTTCCAGATTATCCTCCTCGAATTCTGATTTCAAGATTATCCATAACGAAGTCAAATCGAGTCGTCTCATCTCATCCGTCCATAATATCTCGCATTTAGTCTGAAAATACAAGAACATAATAGAACAATATAAAACATAAAAGATACTAGTAAGACAGGATTTTTCCACAACATTCCTTTTCCTTTCCTTTTCTAATTCTCTTGAAACATTACGATCTCGTTTTATACCAGCTAAAATGTCAACCAGTGTAACACTACGGTTTTCTCCGTTAAGTATCCTTCCAAGAAACACCTTCCATTTCGCTCAATGCTCATGCCCTCTTACGAGCTCTCCATCCTAGACACAGTGTTCCGTCCGTGTTCCTCCTCCTGCGGATATTCGAAACGAGTTTATACTTGACGATACCATTTATCGTTAATGCGTTTTTAGGCTTTGCCACTTGTCACATTGTAAGAAAGCTACGGGGGGGGATTCGAACGTATCGAGATTCGTGAAATTGCAGAGAGGAGGGGAGGGGAGGGCACGTAAATAGTTAAGTGGAGCGAAGCGAGAATCACGCAAGGGTGCCACTTGTGCGTCGTTGATACGAGTTTGTCGTCGTGTCGCTATATCAAGTACATCGATTCCGTTTTAATTCTCGAGCGAATCGATGATAGTCATTTTTTCACCGAGTCGATTTAACGGTGGACGATAACGCGTGCGATATGGTTATTTGCGAAGTAAAAAAAGAAAAAAGAAAGAAAAAGAAAAATTTAGAAGCGTGATTGGCGTAGGTCAGCCACCGCGGGGTTAATATATACGCGTAATGGACGCAATATATAAACGCCTTGAAACAATCCTAGGTAATTCCCTTTTGTTACGTAAGGTGAGATAAATTTCCTCGATGTTGTAGTTTCCAGAAATTGTCAAGTTTTCATCGAATGGCCGTACAATCTGTGCAGTGTTATAAAGGGTGTTTCCCTTTACAAATGAAAGGAAAGTGATTCTTGACTTGTATTAATAAACACAGTAATGAAAATAAGATACGAGGTAATGTATAAAAATTATAATTGGGATAAAATTGAAGATTCGAAAAGAGTCAAGAATTGAGAAAATAATAATCATTCAGATAATATAAAAAATTCTATATTCCATATTTTCGATTCATTTTGTTACCACCTTGTGTATCGAGTCCAGAAAGTATGAACGTCGTACGCGTTATTTCACGGTATATTTCATCTTTTCAATTATAAAGCGACTAATAGAAACATATCGATGGATTATGCGTGCAACAGAAATGTTCGTTGTTTCTCCCCTTGAGCCAACCGAAGCGTAACGAGATCTGGCGGAAAAGTGGAGAACGGAGGAAAATGGCCGAGATATACGCCCCTTCTTTGTGCTATAAACTTTATGGACGACTTTCCGCTCTATACGCGGACGTGTCCTCTTGAAATCGAATCGTAACGCGATTTAATGCGGATAAAAGCAGAATTATGATGTCTCGAGGATAGTGGATATTATGGATGAAATTTCATTTTCAATTAAATTCATGTTGTAAAGGATATACTTGATTATTTTCTATTTTCTATTTTTTTTTTTATAGGTTATACTCAATTGTGTTATCAAAATGCTTCTTTAATATTTTACATATATGCAGTTTATTGATCACAGTGGACATAACGTTAATTCTAATTGTAAAATTAAATTTTTAAAAAGAATATCACTCAATGAAATGATTGAACATTTTGCATGTCATGAAAGAAATTCCCGACAATATTCTACTACAAGAATTTCAACCTCGTGAAACATTTCCAACATTTCAAATCCAATTCAAACTCGAGCTTGTAGAAAAGCTGCGACACGCAACGTGTGAGCGCGAAATGTCCTCATTCGTTAGTCCACGTCGACAATGACGTCAGCTTGGCAGGTAATAATGTTAAGTAATATTTACTAACAGGCAGGACCGACCTCGGAGACTCGGAGGAGGCCACGAATCGTTCCTAAGGGTGCTTCTCTCTTTCTCGCTCTCCTTCATCGAGGGCGCAGTCACCATCAACTAAATTACTCGCGAGAACATGCTCTGTTCTCTCTCTTTTTTTTTACACGCGAAACACCGCCACTAAGAATTTTAGCGCCCGAAACAACCAGTTTCACAAACTGTCGCGTTCCGTCGAAATTTATATTCGAAAGTTAGCATAGAAAGTGTGAATGTTTGTTTCTATTACAAGTAATGTTTGTAAATTTTTAAGTCGATAACTCGTTATTTCAAAAATTGCAATTGATGTCTATTGAAATTTATCGAGAGCGATAACGATTGTCGATCGAGTGCAGCTATTTTTATAAAATATTGTTACATACTAATTTAGATATATATTACATATAATATTTGGGGAATTTGGAGATAGAGAGATTCGAATTATAGGTTAAAAGCATTCCTCTGTGTTAATGTAAAATGATTAAAAGAGTACCATAACCTATAAATTTTTTTCCCGCAAATTTTCTCGATCGAAAATTCCTATTTTAACGTAATTTAATGTAATCTATTAAAAATTCTTCTTACCAATTATCGATAAATAAACTCTCTATAAAGGAAGAAAAGTAATTCTTCAAAAAAAAAAAAAGACAATTCGAAACAGCCGGCAGAAATCTGATTGGCCAATGTAAACATTTGCGGTCGGATTTTAATTCACATACCGGTTAATCGAGCCGCTCCATATAAACGTGTTTCTTTCCAAGCATTTTCCATCGTGTCATACACACTTCTCCGGGCCCCCTCTTAACACGTTTGTTCAGAAAACAATCTAAGTTTAGCGCGGCCGTCTAAATGCGTACGCGGTGGTGGGTCGCGAACGACTATTTTCGAAACTCTCTTGTCTCTTTCCCGTTTACATAAACTGGTGTTAATACCCCACTGTTTTTCGCGTTCACGACGATCACGAGGTTGTTTCGCGACACGTAGGTTATGTATTATTTTTATTAATAGTGGCGCCACCATCTGCTCCCGCGATTCCCTCGTTTTTCCTCTGTTGATAAATAGCTCGGGCGCACAGTCATGAAAATGGAATTTAATCCTCGTGATTCGGTTTTGTTATTTTTGTCGTCCTAGTTCAACGATTTTTTTTTTTTATGTTTTTTTTTCTACAAACTCGTTGATAAAGTTGAGTGTCGTTACTAAAGAGGAAAATTATGTTGCAGAAGAGATTTAATTCATTGACTTCAGTTTTTTATAAACTGCGATTTATAATTTTTCTTTTATTCTAGGAATTGATAAATAATCATTAAAATGGATAATCAATTTTTTCGAAAAATCAAAATTACTTAAGAATAATTAAATATATTAATTATACACATGAATATTGAAAGGACATAAGTGGAATATGAAGTTGTGATTAGAATGAATAGATTCGAAAATATTTGAGGATTGAATATTGTTTAAATATTTGAATATTATACAAATGTTTAAATATATAATAATTATTGAAATTATACGTGTGTGTTATGCATTATTTAAGTAATCAAATATTTGAGATAGTGGTTATCTAAAATATATCATTTTATTTCACTAATTATTATTCTCAAATAATTATATTTTTCGAATTAATTTATATAAATTTTCGACAAAATATTTCTTTCGAATTCATTTAAATTTCCAATTTCAATAATTGATTCGTAATCGAAAAAAGGTTTTAAAGGAATTCAACTCTATAAATATCTTGTTTTCATTAATAATAATAACGCAACTGATGTTACGGATGGTTTCCTCGTATTTTATGATTAATCACGTTGACTCATGTTTGCATAGAGGCGTTTAACCCATGATATGATCGTATTATTTGTATTATTAATATATAACAGCACTCTCGTAGATTAGTTATAATTTCTAATAATTTCTAAGTTTTTTAACTGATTAAACACGTTGGCTTAGTAAACGAGATATTTGATAAATTGAATTTATAATTTGTACTTACATCTACAGTCTTACAAAACTCTACATTTGTTTCCATAAAAAGAAGAAATATGATAAAAAAAAAATTAAAAATTAAAAAATAATTTCATTAAATAAATCAAATAAATTTTCAAAAATATCAAATAACGTGAAAAAAAAAAAATTCCAATTTTCAATTATCGACAATTATCGAACGATTAATATTATAATTAATAAATTTCATTATTAGAGAATTAAACGAAGTCGACATTAAAAAGACATTAAGATATTATGATTATATCACGAGATAGAGCAAACTTGGTAAATTCGCGTGCAATAAAGTGCAATACGCGTGCACATAAAGTGCACTTGCGAAAGCGTAATTGATATTTTGTTTCATTTGACAAAATGCTAGACACGCGCTCTCGTAATAAATGCGACATGCTTATTTGTTACTGTACTATACACGGATCGAGAGCAATATAGCTAGTATTTCAAGTTTGATTGTCATTATGATATTTACTTGTTTCCACGTTGTAATTTCGCCCCCGCTGATTTATACCTGTTTTTATACTCGAACGTTTAATTTATTTTCAAAGTAAATCAAGAATTGTAAATATACAACATTCAACCACTTTTAAAAATTTTTAAAAAATTTTTAATCAAATCACCAAGTTCCAACGAGATACGATACGATTTCTTCAATTATTCCTTATTTCCAATGAGATTAATTCTCCTTCCTCCAGCAGCATCGATACTGAATAAATATATCGGTGTCTTTATTTAGTGCCTCATATACCCTTAGCCAAAGTTTTCAAAATAGCCACGCGACTGTTCAATTATAACGTTTCGAA